AATGATTTAATGTGAAATTGTCATTATAGCTACTTTGTTGGAGTTGTATCAGATAGACCAAATCCTTCAACTAATGATGTACACAACTGAGGAGGCAACCTAAAAAGATCAATTAATAAAAAGTAATAACATTAATAATGTGCCAAAAACTGTGCTACCATTTTTGATGAAAGTTCACCAAAATCCCTGTACTTATAGTAGTACAAGGACTTAGACCCAATTTTGAACGACTAAAAAAATTTGTAAAAATCCAAATTTGATCGAAATTAGTTCAAACTTTCTACATGACATAAGAACATGCATATGTACCAGAAAATGTGATAAAAATAAAGAATTCTCTCAAATTAATTTTTGACAAAATTTGGCCAAAATTACTGTACTATTATTAGTAATGCGCTAGCACCCCACTTCAAAATGGCTGCCACGACTTTTGCAGGCTTGCTATACCAGGAAATAGTACAGGGACTTTGACCCAAATTTTGAGCAACTATAAAAAATTTGTAAAAATTCAAATTTGATCAGAATTAGTTCAAACTTTCTACAAAACATAAGAACATGTATATGCATCAGAAAATGTAATAAAAATGAATATTTCTCTCAAAGTCGTTTTTTGACAAAATTTTGCCAAAATCTCTGTAACATGTATAATGTACCAGAAAATGTGATAAAAATAAAGAATTCTCACAAATTCATTTCGACAAAATTTGGCTAAAATTACTGTACTATTACATAATACAGGGACTTTGATACGATTTTTTGAGCCAATTAAAAAATTTGTAATAAATCTACTTTTGATCGGAATAAGTCCAAACTTGCTACATCACATGAGAACCAGTATATGCATCAGAAAAATTATAAAAATGTAGATTTTTCTTCTAGTCATTTTTGGCGAAATTTTGCCAAAGACCCTGTATGTACAAAGCCTTTGGCCCAATTTGGAGCAACTAAGTAACAATAATAATAACAAAAATCATAATACTATCTCACTATTCACATACACAAGTTGTCATAGCAATGGCAGTCTCAACCAATAAAAGGGTAAAATCCTCAGATCTATGAAATGATGAACTAGTATCTTCCACTAATAACGTCAACAGACTTAATGATAAAGGAGGAGGAGAGTACAAGATGAAGTTAAATTAATCACAAACTTTTATAATTCTTAACTTGCTGGATTTCGTTTGTAATAGGAACTGATAATTCATGAAGATGCTCACTATAAAATAGTAAAAAGTAATTAGGAATGAATACAAAATCCGTTAGTCATAAAATAGTCATTTGCATCAATTGATATTTTACACGTAAATTTACATCAATTGATATTTTATACGTAAATTTACTTACCTTAAGCCTACTATTTTTAGCATCCACTAAATTTAGCGATATTAGCGAGAGCTTTAAATCGCTAAATTAAATAGACGCCAAAATAATTATTATTCATTATAATGGTTATTATTTATAGTTAATTTGGTTAAAAACGCTAAAATTAGTAACGCTAAACATGACTTTTGCTGATTTTGCTAAAATTAGTAGACGCAAATAATAGTAGGCTTAAGGTAATTAGAATAACTTACTCAATACTAGATACCATATTCATAATAAATCTCAAAATATCTAGAAATAATGTTCCTGTTCCTTTAATTAAGTCTCCAAAATACAGCCCTAAAATTAAGACAGTATTTATGGTACATGCATTGTGGTAGCAATTACTGACCAATCAACTGCTGTACGTGCATACACCTATTAACTAATAACTGGTGGAGTCCTTCTAATATGGTGGATAAAGTATTGTACAGTACGTCAGTGACAAGAATGGAATGAGACTGTTTAAAATAAGCACTAAAAAAGGAACAGATACGACAAGTATTTTGGACATAATATTTTACAATGCAATAAAACCAGTCATTAAAAAAATGATAGCAACTTACTCAGCTAATATTTTGATATTTTTTCTTATGTTGCTCAATATTGCCATTGAATAAATTGAGATGCCTCTTGAGTGATAAATCATTAACAATAATAATATTCCTATTACAATTATACAATTATTGATTAATAAAGATTAAATTAAATGACATACTTTCCATATAATTTTCAAATTCGTTTCAGAAGTTGAAGATAACTGATGATACTCCAGAGATGTATAAAACTGCTGACCCTAATAATGATAATAATTATGTTCCACTCTCTCCCTTTCTCTTTTATTTTATTATCTTAACATAAGAGCTTGGAACTATTGAAAGTCTTCACTTTTTAATAAATTTACAATAAGATTTGCAATATTAAAAATCCCAAACATGTATAAATATAACACAATACAAGATGGCTGAATCCTTTTAAATTAAATCAATACAAATGGATTTTTGGGCAGATCAAAGTACAAACCCTCTATAGTTTCTAGTTATAATTAGGTACTTACCACTTTAATGATATCCTCAAGGTGGTCACAAGAATGACAAAGAGTCAGAAAGACTGATATCATATTGCTAAGACCTTCACTGGACAATTCTAATACTTTCTTACATGAAATCTTTGAATAAACCCTAAAAAATTAAAATATTAATTGGGCGAAGCCCTTACTTACAAGAACTTGAACGTACGTCTGGGCGTGACTTGGAGGTGCGGTCTGGAGGCTGAGCCCCTCAATGTTTTACATTCT